GTTTCTGAGTGGGCGGATTGTGTTTGTAATAACAAACGTTGTCACCATAACATATTATATAATGTCATAAGCAGTTGGACTACTGTTCTAATTCTCCATGGGAATGTATAGGAATCACAGCGTGTGGAGATCTGTAGGCGGCCCAGATTTTTGACCTTTGAAGTCATGCTCTTGAAGCATACAATGATAATAATTTTATGTTGGCCAGTCGCTTGGTTTCTGCTTGCCTCACTCAATCTCTGTCAAATTTCGTTCGGCAACACGAGGAACATTTTGCTCTGTACCAATGTCGTAGGGTGCTAGCAAATTTTTGGCTCATTAGCACATTCTTTGGTAAGCCTTTACATAAACAAACAATTATTTTTATAACGATGATTTCATCAATGCCTTTTATTTACCCACGATTACTTCGCGATGGCATGTCCTAATTGTCATCCTGGTAAAGGAACCTTGTCTAATTGCTTTGTATTTGCAGCTTGGGGAACCAATTGCACCTCTTGTTTTGTAAAAGCAAAACCCTTTATAGTAATTGGGGCTTTGTTTTCACTGACCCGTGCAATGCAAATTTGAAAATGTTGCACCTACACAATCGACGCGAAGGCACCAGAACGATAATTAATTTGAGAACATAATTGTTTCTTCTTTGCTTGATAAAAGATTTTATGTTATTCTATAAACGGGTGCACGATCCCGTGTGGCCGGGACGCCATCTCTTCATGTATATCCCGGATTGAATAGTTTTAGAAGTTTTATGCGGCTCTGTAGACGGTTTTGATTATGACAAATTTGTCGCAGGTATAACTATTATTACTCAAAACTGAGAGCGCAGAAAATGTATAGCAAGGTTGTGTCACTGGAACAATCTAGTTTTCATATCGATTTCACGAATCATGACTGAGAAGAAAGGACTACTTTAAGTTATGTTTATGCAGAACAGACAACCTTGGCGCTTGAAAGTGGTAAACGTTTACTATTTGATATCTCGACATTATAGATAACATTGTGTAAATTTTTGACATCTGTTTACGTAGGAATCGTTGTTAAGTGCTGCATCAAAGGAGCCTAAAGATGGAGGAAATTGAGTAAATGAATGGTAGTTTCGTTGTGCCGGAAAGAGCATGTCATCGTTTAACCACGAAATTGAAACTAACACGGCACTACCTGATCAACGTCCGAAGCGATGGAAATCACGGCTTCATAGTTTTCAAAGCACATTGAGACAGTCCATGCGATTGAAGAAAGGATATTCACCGAGAACAGCGTCTTCTGTTGGTGAAGTAAAACGCGAACTTTCAGAAGACAACCGAATCCATGGCGCGAATCGTTCGACGAGGCACGTGAAACGGGAAAATTTTGCCAGGGAACAACACAACTCGGTGTCACACAAACAAGATAATGGCATCAAAACAAATTCACACTCACATTATCCGACTAGAAAAACATCATTTGACAAATCTAGTTTGGACAAGCAGAAATATGAGAAAAACAAAACAAACGCGAATAATAATCGAAAAGAAAAGAAAACTACGGCGGAATATTCTTCGAGTAACGCACACGTCAGAGAGCTGGCAGATTGCGGTCAAAAAGCATCAAACTCAGGGAAAAGATCACAAAGATGCAAACCTGAGAGAGACAAAACAAACACAGAAAGACCAAGGCTCTCAAGATCTAAGAGCTTGAGTATACTAACAAATTTATTTAAGAGATCTAACAAGTCAAAAGATAAAAACAACCGTGGGAAAAGTCACTCTTTTTCGCCCTCGCACATCGAGGTATCGAAAGGATTATCAACAGATCATGGTATTAATTTGGACACTCTGGTAACAGATATCGCTGCTAGCACTTCATCGATTGATTCCTATGGAGATTACGACTCTCATTTCAAGAGAAGTAAGTATTACTCGTTGAAACGTTCAAAAGGATCGCTGATTTTTCCGAAAAAGACCCTTCCGAGAGCTTTTTCTATGGACAATTCGTTGGATCCGTGCAGTCATCAAATGGAAAAATCCAAGACGGTATCCTCAATTCCACCCTGCATTCGAGTCGAAGAATACCGCGAAAATTCCCGTGGTGTTTTTGAAAGGGCTCTTACTGCGGAATTTGTGCCTCGTTTGTCAGCTCAATCAGGAAGAAATGATACGCGTTCTGAATATTATCAAAACGTGACAGGTCGTTCAAGTTCGTTGGGGTGTAAAGCCCGCGCAGAAGTAGCTTCACCCCTTACAAGTGGCTCTCCTGAAACATACGAAACAGTCGCCAATATAACCCGACCAGCCGCAAAGAAGTGTGACGCACACAAAAGACGTTCAGCTCCTCCTTCGCTGCTATATTCGGCTAATGAAAACTCATCAAATATTGGATCGCCATTTTTTTCTGAATCGAAGAGAGATATTGCTCCGGGTGACGATAATTGCGATCAAATTGAACAGGACGTTGTTGGGTACAAGTCAAAAGGTTTGGACGAGAGAACTCTACCTCTGGAAAACAGCAGTTGTAGAGATTGCGGGGATTTGACAACTGATATGGGAAACAACTCATCCTATGAACAAAAACCGCGAAAATTCAATCCGAAAGATGCGACAATGAAATTGGAATTTCTTCGGTCCTTTAAGAGAACCGGAAAGTCATTTTATCGAAATGCAACAGATGGTGAGGCAGATCCTATCATTCAGGAGAGCGATTTTCTGGAGAGTTATGATCAAGAACTTGAAAATGTAGTACTCAGTTATTATCCTGTACAGAGCAACAGTCCGGATAATCACTTGACAAAGGACAAATTTAATTCTTTGTACGAGGGTAGTGAAGCGCTTGAAGATGGAAAACGAATGATTAATACCCTTCATATTAAAGACGATCATGCGCGAGATTTTTTCGGTGTTAAATCGACAGTCGACACGATCACGGACACGGAAAATCACTTGGATGTAAACTGGAACACAGAGGATAAACTTGCTTGCGGAAAAACACAAAGTTTATCCAACGAGAGAGTAAACATTGAAGAGCAACTTTGCGAAGAGCACTTTTGTTCTGCGAACTGTGAACAAACAGAGAAAGACGGGTCAATTCAACTACAGCAGTGTTTGTCTTGCGTGAAAAGACGTTGCGAGTTGACAGATTCTCTACAATCATCACCGTGTTCTCGAACGCTTTCTGAAACATCACAGGAAAAAACAAACGTTGGTGACGTGAATATACACAGTTTGCGTGATCATAATTCACCGGAGTTAATTGTTAGCAGATTAGGCAAGATTTGTACTGGCGAAGACGTATTGGCTGAGAAAAAGATACAAAGTCATAAAGTGAATAGTTTACCAAACTCACCAAGACAGTCATTATCACCTTTGATTAGCAATTCAACAATGTATCACAGTTTTCCTGATATCAGAAAGCTGCACACCAGTCATACTCTGCCAATTAACCAGCTCTCAGACAGCACGGATAGCCTTAATTCCTCTTGTAGCTTAAATGCTGAAAACAGTTTTGATAATGACAATTTTTCCGTAAAAAGCCGTGGAGAAAAAACTCCGTCGCCGCTTTTAATTTCTCAAGATTATTCGAACTACATCGAACATGGTGGAATATTAAAGTGCGGCAACTTGAACCTTGAACAACCCGAGGAACGTCAGCGCTCTCGTAGCGCAAGGATGCCATCAAAGTCACCACTTCAACAGGTGCTTATGACGGAGTCTAATCGCTCTGTGTCTTGCAGCCAGCTGGACAAGAATAATGGGAGTCCTGCGATTTGCACTAGTCCTCCTTATGTAAGGCCACGGATCCAGAGCCTTGAACAGTTGCCTGCATGCACGGCAGAAGTCGTGCTCAGGAAAAAGAGGAGTATCATCAAAAGAAACATGATGAAGCACACTACGTCACTAACATATGTTGACAATGTGTTCAACGAGATGATTGACATGGGTAAGCGTCACTCTTACGGTGGCTATGGGGACAAGTCATTCCTTCGACTTCCTCAACATTTGCTGCAGAGATCCAACAGCACTGGTAGCTGTAACAGTTGTAATAGCTCACAGCAGTCAATCAACTCAGAATCATCGTTTACTGAGAATGATCTTGGCAGCACTTTCTCAATGGCATCAGAAGTGTCCTTCCCTAGTAACTTTGATGTGAGTTTAAATCGTTCTCGTAGTGTTCCAGGGCATCTTGGTGGTATCCCACAGAATTCTCCTATCCCAGAGGAGAGAGCCTCCCTATCTGAGGTGGACTGGTCTTCACAAACAGGGGAAAACAGTGATGATGAAATTGAGGATGATGATGATGATGATGATGAGGTAGGTTGTCAATGATTTTTCTTTTGTTACTAAAATATATTTAGAAAATCCCTTAGAGTGGTTTTCGTTTGAGTGTCGTAAAACCAAAACCAAAGTAATTACTCTGGCCAATCACATAGGACACAGACAATACATTGAACCAATCAAAACTCGAAGTAATTACATGTGGCTGACGCAAAAAGGGCATCTTGGTGGTATCCCACAGAATTCTCCTATCCCAGAGGAGAGAGCCTCCCTATCTGAGGTGGACTGGTCTTCACAAACAGGGGAAAACAGTGATGATGAAATTGAGGATGATGATGATGATGAGGTGGGTTGTCAATGATTTTTCTTTTGTTACTAAAATATATTTAGAAAATCCCTTAACTGCGCTTTTCAAAAACACGGGAAATGTGAAGTTCAAAAGCCGCCTTCAAAATTGCGTTTTTCGCTGACGTCAATCAAAATTACGATCACAAGCAACGAACCTTGAAAGACACAAAAACACAAAACGGATCGAAATCCACCTATCACAAATCACAAACCATGACCTTTTGCACCCGTTGAAGTAAATTACTGTTTCCTTAGAGGCCCACTTAGATAATTGCGGCAGCGAAAAACGCAAACATTAGTTGGCTATTGAACTTCAGAATTGGCGTGTTTTGGAAAAGCGCAGTATTGAGAATCCACCTCACGGAACCCAGAAATAAGACTCCCCGAGTGAGAATTTTTTTCTCGGTTCCTTGTGGATGATATGAATCAAAGTGGTTTTCTAATTTATAATTATCACATTATCAAGTAGTCACCAAATTATTTTTTTAAATTTTATTCAGTTAACATTATAAGATTGAAGTACAGGAAGGTCAAGAAAAAAGATTAAAAGGACAATTATTATATATTTAAGCTATACTGTTAAGTTCCAGATCAAGTGAATCACTTCAGTTAAGAGTTCATTCTAAATTATTGACCTAATAATTTATCATCTCTCTGAATTGCTATCATTAATTTGATAGTAGACAAAGATAGATTAACTTCCTTTTGTTTTTTTTTTGTATTTCCGCCTGTGTGAACATTCAAGTGTTCTGAAAGAATGTTCTGATTGCAAAGTTAAATCACCTAATGTCAACTAAACCCAGTAGGTTATCTATTTGACAAGATTATGGAATCATTAAGTGACTGGAAATCATTGATTAGCATGCCTTTGTATACAAAATACGATGACGGATTGTTAAGGTGATTTTGTTAAGTCCGAAAAAAATAAATTCTGCTAAAGAGGTTTCATTTGAATGGTAACACCTTAGAATTTCAGCTACTGAGTTGTAACGTCTAGTGATAAATTATCTCACCAAAACATGATCTGGTAGGGAAAGTTAAGCTAGTGTAAATAAATTACAAGTATTTTTGCTTTAGTCCAATCATAAGTGCCTTTATAGTATATTACCCCCAACAGAATACAAGAAAAAAAAAATACAATTCAAACCTTTTCCTTCCTTTGTACTGTAACTATGTCATGGATTCTATGGCAGCAATAAGCTATTAGTACGATGTATGACCTCTTCACGGTTCCCTTTATTAATATTGAGCAAAACTGTCCAGACATTTTTAAGTGGTTTCAATAATCTAAATTGGCTGTTACAAGTATTCAACATTCCAACTTTTATGATGCTTGTAAAGCTTTATTTTTGAGCCAGCCACACGCCTAAGTTGTCCAAAACATGCTTGGAGCATGCTTAGAATATGGGCCAACTAGAATAAAAGAGTTGGGCAATTTTGTCGAAAATCGGCGATGTTGAAGTCCCCCACCACTGTAAACCCCATAATCTGTGGAAGGAGAAGCATTCCATTGATATTTTTTGAGCCTGAAGAGGTCGACATGTCTGATGTTAAAAATAGCACCTTATTTTCATTATTTCTATATTTTTATCCAAATGGAAGAAAACATCTGCTTCCTTGCATTACGAAAGGAAGATTTTGCAAGGCGATAATAAGTTATAATTAAACATGATTAAAAGTAATATAGTGTGAAGAATTCAGTACAGATGTTCAAAAATTCTCTTTTTGATAAGTTTAAAGTTTTTGCCCCATTGAAATTTAATTTCAAATAACTAGCATTTGACTAAAAAGAAGACCAAGAGAAGAATTCATTGAAAAAAAGGGAATATAACAATATGTGATAAACTAGATCAATGGACAGAGAAAAGCATTTGCGATTTTAAAACTTGATTGGCATGTTTCACGGTTTTTTAAAAGGCAATAAACATATCTACACTCTTAAAATGGGCTGCCTGACGTTGACTGAGGCTCAGATATTTATCAATTTATATTGATCGACTCGAATGCTTCTTAAAATAACTAAAAGCAGTAATCTCAGATGTTTCTCCTCTTTTTCGTGCACGAGGTACAAGGGCTGTAAATGATTTTGTAAATCAGTCACTAGGTAAATCAGTTACTATTATATAATTATTAATTTACTTAATCTTTTAATCCCCAAGGGAGCTATTGATCGTTCTGCTCAAAGACTGGTTGTTTTCTTGTCTTTGTAAAGTCGCAGAATAGAAAAAAAAACAGCGCTGTTGTAAGCAACATCTTTACAAAGGCGTAAAGTAATTTTATACGCACTGCATTCAACCTAAAGAACAAATAAAACATTAATTAATGCCTTAGTGCTGAACAGCGAATGTCAAAGAACAGATTGTACAGAACTACTCGAAGGTAATCTCTTGCACAACTCTTTGTCATCATAGCTTAGGAATCGAGTCACTTAATGCGAATTTAAACACTGAAACGTGCTTTTCGGTAACATTCATGATGCGATTTTTTCGGATTTTTTGATACTTTCGCCTTAAACCCCAGGTGTGGAAGATGCTAAACAGTTGAAGTGCTGTCACGGTTTTGACACAAGCGAGTAAACAAAACGGAGTATATAGAGATCGTGTTTCAATGCTTTGATGTCAGCCATGTTTCCAACATGTCACTGCAAGTAAAGCGCGTGTCATTATGGTCGGTGTGTTCATGAATTACTGAATACCAAGAGTGAAATTCCATTCACGCTGTATTCGGTCTCGAGGTATCATTTGTAAAACGCATCGTGCCTGATCGGAGCTCCCGACTGTGACACCAGGCAGAAGTTATGACAATTCTGACATCTTCATGTATTCGTACTTCTTGTTGATATTTCTAGGGCAGATACCGGCTTAGGAGGTAAGATAACTCACGGATGGTACGTCTAATCGTGGATTACAATTTTGATGTATTGATCTGTATTGTAATCCAGGTCTGGTGGTGATATTTGTCTACCTCAATCTGACCTATCAGCACTGTGGTCAGATTCTAGCCAAAGATGCTCTGGAAAGTATCGATTTTCTGGTCAAGATTTGGTTTGTATCATATACCACAAAGATACCAGGGTTTATTATCGCAATTTATTCTGTTTATTGTGCTTAGGGAGTTGATAATGACGATTTGACAGTTAATTAACTATAATTTTCCCTTTTAATTCTATTAAATAACGTTGAATTTGCCCGTAACTAACCGGCTACATTTAAATTTCTATGCTGGTATGGATCAAGTAATTGGTCTTCCATTTTGACTATTTCCTTTCTTTGAAGGCTTTTGAGATAAGCGAGTAGATGAAAAGGTTTTTTCAATGTGCTTACAGTCTCGTATTAGAAGAAGACTGAATAAGTCTCGCCGTCGAAGCTGTTTCTGACGAAAGGCGATGAGAAGTGCAATTCTTGGTAGCCTCGTGTGTTTTTAATTTTTCGTTGGGAAATGCGATTCAATGTTAGCTAGTAAATGTTGCACCGATTTGATCTTGGTGGGAGGTACAGAGCTCAAATTGAGATACTGATAAACCAGTCATCCAGCACTGAACACAAGAGCAATAACTTCGGTCGGAAAAACTCATTATCATAGCCGCAAATTGTTTCTTTGTCCTATGAAGCTGTGAAGGCGTTAATTAAACCTCCATTAAATTTAATCGTCTAAGAACTCGTGCATTCCAGTTTTACATTTTAAAATACCGCTAGTAAACAGCAACTCAATTAAGACAGATCATTCTTAACAACAGGCCAAACGAATAATTTGAATGATTATGTTGCATTCAATTTGGGAATGGCAGGGTTCTTGCAAGAATTTAATTATGTTCCTAATAACGCGCCAGTTTTGCAAATTAACTTTCAATTATCGGGGAAGGCAAAACATATTTTTGTTTGGGTGCTAAAAGGCGCTCAAATTGTTATGTAAACAATCGACTTTGCACAGCTCAAGTTTGATTATAAATAGACGTTCGCTTTTAAGTCTTTTATTGTATTTGATTGTTATTTTGCTTCCCGTGTCTTCTACGGAATGGCCTTGCGCCCTCTATGAATTTTTGAAGCATGCCTTA